CTGCGAAAAGGACAAAGGCGTTGAAGATAAGGAAAATATGGCAAATTTGAGAATGCTGGAAGTGGGATGATAAGGGAAAAGTTTATAGCTTGAAAATTGCAACACTCCAAAGAGGCCCTGCTGAAATGAAACCCTAAAAAGGCTTCACTTTGAATGCGGAGTGAGGCACCTGGAGACGTACGGTTTTCTGGAGTGGTCGATGCTACGGCAACTCAGAGATAGACAGAGAAAGAGAGAGAGAGTAAGCGCTTCAAGAGAAGGCGCGGTGATTAGTGGCGGGACACATTTCTGTTGCTTCAATTAGACTTGTTTTTCGTTAAAACCAAATAATGTGTTTGAAGTTATACTTTCAAGTCTGATTTTTAGTTTCGTTTTAACTATTTGTCGAATTTTCCCTTGAAATTTAATTATATACTTTTATTTATGGCTAAATACCCCCATTGCTGCTAAGAGAAATTGTAGTAACATAACTTTAATTCAGTTGGAGGAATAGTTCCGTAACTAAAAATTCATAATTATTAGTCCCTTTTACTTATCAAAACATGCAACTATGATCATTTTTATAAACTCCGTCAAAATAAGTCATGTTGGAAGAACCATTGCTATAATTGGGTTAAAGTTGAGGGATCATTGCTGCAATTTTTCTCATTTGATTTTTCATATTTGCCCCTTGATTTAGTCTCATTTTGACGAAAGTTCTGACAGAGTTGTTGAAAATGTCCATAGTTGCACGTTTTGTTGAGTAAAGTGACCAATGATTAGGAATTTTTAGTTGAATGATCATTGCTCTAATTGAGTTAAAGTTGAGATACCATTAATACAATTTCCAGGTGAAATCTCTCCACTTTTGCTCCACTATTCAGTTAGTTTATGGGCATTTAAAATCACAGAAATAAAATAAGATTAAAAAAATTAAAAATTCAAATTTAAAAAGAATTAAAGTAGCATTTGATGTGTAGACGGGATAGAAATAGGATGGAGCAGAGGTTCGAATATAGTTTGGTACATACATGCTGAAATGAGTCAATTGTTCTGTTTCGCGTTTGATAGTTCACGCGGAATAGAACAAAAAAATTAAAAGGCCAACTTATCCTTGCTTATTTTATGATATATTTGTGACAATGACACTTAATGAATATTAATATTTGTTGGTAATGAAGAAGTTTATTAGGTTCTTCCGGGTAATAATGTATTTCTGGGTAATTATTTCACATTCATCGCAGCAGCCATATTCTCTTTAGCTTATAAGAAGGAAAAATTAAGAAACGATTCATTTTCTCAGCCAATAGTTGCATAAACTTAAACACAGAAATGGATGTATACCTCTAAATTACACCCTTAACCCCAAACAGTACAAAGCTTGTGGTACGGAAAATCAATTTCAGTGAAAACCCATAAATTTCTAGGGGTTTCCACTTCTACACCTAAAAAAACCATGGTTAACTGAATGAGGAAAATCACAACCAACTCAGAAAAACTGACAATTAAATCAAAGCGGGAAGATATTGAGATGCTGCGACGAGAGAAGAGAGAGGTAGTGAACGAAGTAGAGAATGGAGCCTCTCCGCCGAGAAGACGGGGAGAGAAAGAGAGAGGCTACTAGGAAAGAAGAAAGACACAAGATTAGGGTTTGTTTTTATGATTTGGTAGTAGAATTATTGAAAAACAGCAGGGGTATTTTTGTGTTTCATGGGGTGAAATAAGTTCGTTCCATGGAGTGAAATAAGTCATTTTTCATGAGGGAGCGTGGTACAAAAATTAAACTAAAATTCATTCTAAGAATAGGTGCGTCTCATTTTTTTGTCGCACCAAACGTGAGACGAACCTGTTCCGTCTCACTCCAAGTACCAAACGCCACAAAACCACATCTCTAAACTCTCTCCCTCTTCCCGAATGTTTATTCCCTCCCAGATCGTTTATGTTTATAGTGAGGCCTTCTAAGTTTTCTTTAAAATAAATTGTTTTTAGAGAAATATCTTTCAGATTTTCATGTTCAAAGTTGGGTGTTTCATAAGTCACGGAACATTGCTGTTTTTTTGCCTTCATTTTTTTCATCCATCATAATATCTATGTGGCTCAAAATTAATAGAACTTGGAGTCATCTCACGAAGAAGGTTGTAAACTCTAAAAATTAGGATTCATAGATGCAAGATCTTGCTGTTTATTCTTAATGATATGTTTGTTGTTTGAAGTTGACGCATATTATTTTGTTCGATGTAATTATCATTCTGAGCGTGAACACATATTATATGACGCGTGATACTAATTTAATTCACTTTGATTCATTTTGGTCTAAACGGGCTGCAAAAGAGGAAATTAGTAACCAATTGAAAAGGATGGGTCATGGGTGGACAAATAGAAGGGATTGCTTAGGGTGCGCACTTCGAGGACAAAATTTTGATGAAAGACAATGTTTTGTTGCCTGCTTAGAATCGAGTTAAAGTTCCCCTAATTTACGGCGAAATATATTGTTTACACACTTCTTTTTACTTATCATATGTTTTCTTAATTTTAGGCCGTCAGATCGAATGTATTAAAAAAAATTAAATAACATAAATTAATAAATGGTATGTGAGAAGTAAAAAAGAGTGTGTGAATATCACTCCTTTTACAACCCATTGACATTTCTAGAACGTGATCAAATTTTCTGTCTCTAAGATGAGTGTAGTCTCTCTTTGGCTCCAATTATTCTTAACTTTGTTTTCATAGACTTAATGTGTGTCAAACAATAATTTGAGGTATAGAGATACCACGCCCATTTTGGGCGTAGAAGCTTTGATCTCCCCATAGACCATATGATTAGACTTGGCAAGGGAGAGATTTTTTAATGACAGAACACGAGTTAGTACATCACGTGTCACTATATAAGTGATGGGATATGTGTGTTAAAAAGTTAATAACTTAAAAAATAAAATTTCTCACCGTTTATATAAAACACATGGTATATCACTCGTGTTCTGATCACAATGAAAAATCTATCCTAGCAAATGGAGTAAAAATAGAGAGCCCTTCTATTTTGAAGAGAATTTTTCAATGCAATCAGAACACGAAGTGATACATCACGTGTCACTATACGAGTTGTGGGATACTTATATTAAAATATTAACAACTTAAAAAATAAAATTTTCATTCACTTATATAATGACATACACTATACCACTCGTGTTCCAGATACAAAGAAAAATTGTTCCTATTTTTATAGTCCAACTGCAATCTATTAATTAACCAAGTCAATGTGATTGCTACTTACATGCATGATTAACGTGTGAGGTCCACTGAAATTCACCCAACCCACTCTGTCACTCTCACACCAACTATTAAGAAATTCTTAAGACTGATATGTTATAAAAAAAAATTAAAAAAAAAGTAGACTCTATGATTAACGTGTGGGGTCCACTCAATTATTGACCAAAAGTGTATCAAGTCGTCTCTTGTTCTTCCTCACCTCCTCACCTCAACACTTTCTTTGAAGGACCGAAAAAAAAAAAAAAAAAAAAGAGAGGGGGAGAAAATGGCAAGAGCTTTGATTGGAGAGGTTTTTCTCTCCTCTTCCATCCAGAGGTTGTGCGACAAGATTGCTTCTGACGAGTTTATGGACTTGTTCCGGCGGGAAAAACTTACCATTCACTCATGGAGAAGTTGAAGCTGAGATTGTTATAACTTTTCAATTTAGTTTTGAGATTTAAAATTAATAAAATTGGTCCTTGAGCTGAGTTTATCCACCATAAACCATTTTGACTATTATGCGAAAAATCTCTGTTAAATAAGGATAAAATGATAAAAATGATCTTAATTTTGTCAAAATCATTTTGGGCCATATTTTATTAAATTAAGGGTTTTTTTTGTCATTTTGGTCCTTATGTAACATTTTTTTTTACAGAATGAACAAAATGATTGATGATAGTCAAACTTAAGGATCACCTCTATTAATTTCAAATCTCGGAGACCAAAAGTGATGAGTTATATCAATCTTAGAGATCATTTTAGCTAAAATGCCAAAAATTCTTTTTGTCATAAGTATCTTTTTAATCTTCATGTTTAAAACTTTGGTGTTTTATAAGTCTCAGTACATTGCTGTTTTTGGCATTCCATTTTTTTCATTCATCAGATATTCATAATATCTATATTGCTCAAAATTAATAGAAATCGCGGTCATCATCTCACGATGAAGGCAATAAACTCTAAAAAAATATTATCTGTAAATGCATTATCTTGCTATTTGTTTCCAACAATATATTTGGTGTTTGATGTTGAAGCAAAGTACTGATAACATCCTTTATTGTAATTATCGTTCTAAGTATGTCTTTGTACGATGCATGATACTAATTTAATTCACTTTTATTCATTTTAATCTCGACATACTGCAAAAGAAGAAATTGGTAACCAATCGAAAAATGGGTGGACAACTAGAAGAAGGGATTGCTAGGTGCACTTGGATGACAAAATTTTGATGAAAGGCTTTGTATTGTTGCCTGCTTGGACTCGAGTTGAAGCTCTCCTATTTTACAAGCCAATTATAAGACCTGGCAAGGGATGAAAAAAAAGAGATCCCATCTATTTTTGAGTTTAACAACTTGTAATATAACTCCAATATATTAATTAACCAGGTCAGTGTGACTTCTTTTCACATGCATGATGACATGATAACATAATAAACAAAAGATTACAATTTTAATTTTAATTAATTAGGTGATCAATTTAAAGATCCTGTGTTGTATCCGCCCAAAAGCAAAATTCCAACGCGGCTTAATATCAAATTATCAACAAACAAAAGTGATGTTATGGTTAATAACTAAAAAATAGCCACCCAACCCGCACTCTCACACCAACCAAACCAACTACTAGGAAATTGTCACTTAAATTATAGGTAATAAGACTCTTTGATTAACGTGTGGGGTCTCTTTCCGAAACGAAATTAAGCTAATAAGACTCTTCTTCTTCCTCACCTCAACACTTCTTTGAAGATAAAAAAAAAAAAACAGAGAGAAAGAGAGAGAGAAATGGCAGGAGCTTTGATTGGAGAGGCTTTTCTCTCCGCTTCCATTCAGACGCTGTGCGACAAGATTGCTTCTGGGGAGTTCATGGACTTCTTACGGGGAAAAAAGCTTGACCATTCACTCTTGGAGAAACTGAAGCTGACTTTTCTGACCCTCGATGCAGTGCTCGATGATGCAGAGGAGAAGCAAATTGAGAAACCTCGTGTGAGAAAGTGGCTCGACGAGCTCAAACATGCCGTCTTCGATGCCGAGGACCTTCTGGCTGAGATCGATACTGAAGTTTTGCGAAGCAAGGTGGAAGCTGATGAATATCAAACCAAAAAGACGTCCCAGGTGTGGAACTTCCTCTCTACTTCTTTTAGTCCTTTTTGTCAAGGCATGAATGGTAGGATACAAGAGTTATTCCAAAGGTTAGAACATCTTGCCAAACAAAAAGATCTCCTTGGTCTTGTAGGAGGTGTTAAGGAGAATGTTTCTCAAAGAAAACTCACAACTTCCCTTGTTGAGCATGAATTTAGTCCTTGTGGTAGGGACGGGGATAAAGAAAAGTTGACAAGGTTGTTGCTATCTGATGATACAATTAGTAGCAATAACGTATCCGTACTCGCCATAGTTGGGATGGGGGGAGTTGGTAAGACAACCCTTGCCCAGCTCCTTTACAATGATACAACAACAACAACAACAACAACAACAACAACAACAACAACAAAGCCTTTTCCCACTAAGTGGGGTCGGTTATATGAATCCTAGAACGCCATTGCGCTCGGTTTTGTGTCATGTCCTCCGTTAGATCCAAGTACTCTAAGTCTTTTCTTAGAGTCTCTTCCAAAGTTTTCCTAGGTCTTCCTCTACCCCTTCGGCCCTGAACCTCTGTCCCGTAGTCACATCTTCGAACCAGAGCGTCAGTCGGCCTTCTTTGCACATGTCCAAATCACCGGAGCCGATTTTCTCTCATCTTTCCTACAATTTCGGCTACTCCTACTTTACCTCGGATATCCTCATTCCCAATCTTATCCTTTCTCGTGTGCCCACACATCCCACGAAGCATCCTCATCTCCGCTACACCCATTTTGTGTACGTGTTGATGCTTCACCACCCAACATTCTGTGCCATACAACATCGCTGGCCTTATTGCCGTCCTATAAAATTTTCCCTTGAGCTTCAGTGGCCTACGACGGTCACACAACACGCCGGATGCACTCTTTCCATCCAGCTCGTATTCTATGGTTGAGATCTCCATCTAATTCTCCGTTCTCTTGCAAGATAGATCCTAGGTAGCGAAAACGGTCGCTTTTTGTGATCTTCGCTAGATTGCTCCGATCATTAGTGTGGATAAGTATATAAATGGATAGAGATAGGAAAGCAAACACAAGATGTACGTGGTTCACCCAGATTGGCTAAGTCCACGGAATAGAAGAGTTCTCATTAATTGTGAAGGGTTTACACAAGTACATAGGTTCAAGCTCTCCTTTAGTGAGTACAAGTGAATGATTTAGTACAAATGACATTAGGAAATATTGTGGGAGAATGATCTCGTAATCACGAAACTTCTAAGTATCGGAGTGTGGTGTCGTCTTGACTTGCCTTATCCGTCTCATAGGTAGATGTGGCATCTTCTCTGGAAGTACTCTTCCTCCATCCAGGGGTGGTATCTTTAACTGGTGGAGATGCACAAGGTAATGTATCAATTTCACTTGAAGCTTACTTGTAGTTTCAGGCTTGGTCAAGCGCGATACAAACCATGTAGTAGGAGTCCCCCAAGTCGCCGAGCTAGGGGGGTCTGCTGAAAGAGGTGACAGACAAGGTAAGCAATCAGAGCTCCGACTGATTGTTCACCTTCTCCCCATCTTGCAGCAGCATGAAGGATAAAGAGAAGAAAAATGAGAAGAGATGATATGAGATACTTTTGCTTTTGAAGAAGTAACTTTCCACAGGCTTATTCTTGAACTGAGCTGGAGGGTTTTCTGGTTTCCTCCAGAGTATAAGGCCGACTGAAGAATTTGAGGGTCAAAACAAGTCCATCAAATCTAGAGTACGTTCCACCCTGCTGATATGGGATACTTTTGCTTTTGACAGAGTAATGGATGTATCGGCACGTGTGCTGTTACGCTTGTCTCCACATGCTTCCTTGTATCCTTTGCACTTGCTCTATCTGTTCCTCAAGCAGATGCGGAATCTTCCCTGGAAACATAAGATGTTGAAGATGAGTACTCGAGCAATGCCAGGTAAGTAATCAGGTAAGGGGTTCCAGGCAGTCAGTTCCTAGCTGGAAGCTTGATTCCAAGTGCTGACTGATTGCTCTCTTTCTCCTTGTCTTGCAGGTAAAAACAAGGCCAAAAGAAAAGACAGGGAAAAAGCATGATATGGGATACTCTTGCTTTTAACCCTGATGATATGAGATATTCTTGCTCTAGTATAGCTTGTTTGCAGAGGTATTATCGGGGGGAAAGAAAGCTGAATATTTCGAAAGGCTTCGTTGGGAGTGCCCTCTCAGATATGATGAAGGGTTGAGCATTTTTGCAGGTCTGCCTGTCCGTTGGGGATGGAGGTCGACATATATAGGAGTCTCCCTAACAACAAGTAGTAATGCTATTCCTTTACCCTGCTTGGTCATAGCACGGTAGTGGGAGCTGTCAGTTTCACATGTTTTAACTCTGTCAGAGCACTTTGAAAAAGTGGTCTGTGGTATCTGGCTCTCGAGATTCGGAGAACGATGCCTCTTCGATTTTTGAGAAAGCAATCATGCTGGGGGTCTGACTCTCGAGATTCGGAGAGCAGTGTCTCTTCGATTTTTGAGGAAGTAATCATGTTGGGAGTCTGGCTCTCGAGATTCGGAGGGCGGTGCCTCTTCGATTTTGGAGCAAGCAATCTTGTTGGGAGTGTTGTCTCGAATGTGAGTAAAGGTTGGGCATGTTTGCTAGTCTACCTTGCCACGAAGCACAAAGGTTGACACACAGGGACTTTCCAATTATCCAGCAATGGTACTGTTCCTTTACCCTCTCTTCGATTTTGAGAAAGTAGTCATGTTGGGAGTCTGGCTCTCGAGATTCGGATGACGGTGCCTCTTCGATTTTGGAGCAAGCAATCTTGTTGGGAGTGTTTTCTCGAATGTGAGTAAAGGTTGGGCATGTTTGCTAGTCTACCTTGCCACGAAGCACAGAGGTTGACACACAGGGACTTTTCAATTATCCAGCAGTGGTACTGTTCCTTTACCCTTGTGGGTAATAATATGGTAGCTAGACCTTCAAAATTTATGTGTCTAAACTTTGTTAGTGCTGTTTCTTTGCTATTCTTTTACCTTTCTTGGTCAGAGCAATGTAGTGGGAGCTGCAAGTTTCACGTGCTCAACTTTGGCAGAGAACTTTGGCAAAGTTATCTGTGGTACCCATGAGCTATTGTTGCGTGTGGGAAGTGGGTGATTGAACAGTAAGATTCATGTGCTTTCTACTTCACCAGAAGTCTTCGACAGAATGCCCATAATTTCTGCAAAGCTGAGTGTGCGTGTGACAGGTGCTGACAAGGCTAGAAAAGTAGGTGCCTCTTCGATTTCTGAGATCAGCCCTCGTGGTCTCTGAGCAGCCCAGCTTTTGAGAAAGCGAGCGCCTCTTCGATTGATTCGGAGAACGATGCCTCTTCGATTTTTGAGAAAGTAATCATGCTGGGGGTCTGGCTCTCGAGATTCGAGGAGCAGTGTCTCTTCGATTTTTGAGAAAGTAATCATGTTGGGAGTCTGGCTCTCGAGATTCGGAGGGCGGTGCCTCTTCGATTTTGGAGCAAGCAATCTTGTTGGGAGTGTTAAAATTGCTATTCTTTTACCCTTCTTGGTCAGAGCGATGTAGTGGGAGCTGCAAGCTTCACGTGCTCAACTTTGGCAGAGAACTTTGGCAAAGTTATCTGTGGTACCCATGAGCTATTGTTGCGTGTGGGAAGTGGGTGATTGAACAGTAAGATTCATGTGTTTTCTACTTCCCCAGAAGTCTTTGACAGAATGCCTATAATTTCCGCAAAGCTGAGTGTGCGTGTGACAGGTGCTGACAAGGCTGAAAAAGTAGGTGCCTCTTCGATTTCTGAGATCGGCCCTCGTGGTCTCTGGGTAGCCCAGCTTTTGAGAAAGCGAGCGCCTCTTCGATTTCTGAGATCGGCCTTCATGGTCTTTGAGCAGCCCAACTTTTGAGAAAGCAAACGCCTCTTCGATTTCTGAGATCAACCCTCGTGATCTCTAAGCAGCCCAGCTTTTGAGAAAGCAAACGCCTCTTCGATTTCTGAGCAGGCGCCTCTTTGATTTCTGAAGCTCCGTCGAGTGCAGATTTTTATAGGGGCTGGCATTAAGTTCCAAAGCACACTTGAATCTCCACCAGTAGAAGCTTCATTCTTGCACTTCTAAGATCTTGATTTGTCCGACCTCTTCTCTCTTCAACACCTTTGAAAATGTCTGGCCCCTCCGACCGTCGTTTTGACTTGAACCTTGTTGAAGAGGCAGCCCCGCCTTCTCCAGACAACATATGGCGCCCATCCTTCGTCTCCCCTACTGGTCCTCTTACCGTTGGGGATTCCGTGATGAAGAATGATATGACCGCTGCGGTGGTGGCCAGGAACCTTCTCACTCCCAAAGATAACAGACTACTTTCCAAACGGTCTGATGAGTTAGCTGTTAAGGATTCGCTGGCTCTCAGTGTTCAGTGTGCAGGTTCTGTGTCTAATATGGCCCAACGCCTATTTGCTCGAACCCGCCAAGTTGAATCATTGGCGGCTGAAGTGATGAGTCTCAAACAGGAGATTAGGGGGCTCAAGCATGAGAATAAACAGTTGCACCGGCTCGCACATGACTATGCTACAAACATGAAGAGGAAGCTTGACCAGATGAAGGAAACTGATGGTCAGGTTTTACTTGATCATCAGAGATTTGTGGGTTTGTTCCAAAGGCATTTATTGCCTTCGTCTTCTGGGGCTGTACCGCGTAATGAAGCTCCAAATGATCAACCTCTGATGCCTCCTCCTTCTAGGGTTCTGTCCAGTACTGAGGCTCCAAATGATCCCCCTCCGGTGCCTTCTCTTTCTAGGGCTCTACCGACTGCTGAGACTTCTCCTAAGCAACCTTTGTGAAGGCTCCCTCTTGTGTGTTTATTTTGACTCATGTATATGTACATATTTGTAGCTTATCGGGGATATCAATAAATAAGCTTTCCTTCATTTCAACGTATTGTGTTAAATACACCAAAGCCTTCTTCGCTAAGTTCTTTGAATTTTCTTTTGTTGAAGCTTGTAAGTTGAAGCTTTCTGAGTGGAGCATGTAGGTTGGGGTAGTGTTCCCTTAATTTCCCGAGTGAGGAAAACTTCTCGGTTGGAGACTTGGAAAATCCAAGTCACTGAGTGGGATCGGCTATATGAATCTTAGAACGCCATTGTGCTCGATCCTGTGTCATGTCCTTCGTTAGATCCAAGTACTCTAAGTCTTTTCTTAGAGTCTCTTCCAAAGTTTTCCTAGGTCTTCCTCTACCCATTCGGCCCTAAACCTCTGTCCCATAGTCGCATCTTCTAATCGGAGCGTCAGTAGGCCTTCTTTGCACATGTCCAAACCACCGTAACCGATTTTCTCTCATCTTTCCTTCAATTTCGGCTACTCCTACTTTACCCCGGATATCCTCATTCCTAATCTTATCCTTTCTCGTGTGCCCACACATCCAACGAAGCATCCTCATCTCCGCTACACCCATTTTGTGTACGTGTTGATGTTTCACCGCCCAACATTCTGTGCCATACAGCATCGCCGGCCTTATTGCCGTCCTATAAAATTTTCCCTTGAGCTTCAGTGGCATACGGCGGTCACACAACACGCCGGATGCACTCTTCCACTTCATCCATCCAGCTTGTATTCTATGGTTGAGATCTCCATCTAATTCTCCGTTCTTTTGCAAGATAGATCCTAGGTAACGAAAACGGTCGCTCTTTGGTATTTCTTGATCTCCGATCCTCACCCCTAACTCGTTTTGGCCTCCATTTGCACTGAACTTGCACTCTATATATTCTGTCTTTGATCGGCTTAGGCGAAGACCTTTAGATTCCAACACTTCTCTCCAAAGGTTAAGCTTTGCATTTACCCCTTCCTGAGTTTCATCTATCAACACTATATCGTCTGCGAAAAGCATACACCAAGGAATATCATCTTGAATATGTCCTGTTAACTCATCCATTACAAGCATTTTGATGTTACAGCTTGGGCTTGTGTTTCCGAAGATTTTGATGCTATTAGGGTAACTAAAACCCTTATTGAATCAATTACCTCAAAACCTTGCAGTCTTCAAGATATGAGTTTGCTTCAAGTTAAACTTAGGGAACAAGTGAGGGGGAAAAAGTTCCTATTTGTGTTGGATGACCTTTGGAATGACGACTATAGTGATTGGGATATTGTAAGGACTCCTTTTACTTATGGGGCGAGGGGAAGCAAGGCCGTCGTGACAACAAGGAACAAAAGTGTTGCATCCATTGTGCACACGTTCCCATTTACTCTTTGGAACAATTGTCGCATGAAGATTGTTGGTTGTTACTTGCAAAACATGCATTTAGAAATGAAAATCCTAGTGTGCATCCAGACTTGGAAGAAATTGGTAGGCAAATTGCACGCAAGTGCAATGGTCTTCCTTTAGCTGCAAAAGCACTTGGGGGTCTCTTAGGTTGTAATGTAGGTTACAAGGAATGGAGTCACATATTGAACAACAATCTTTGGGAGATATTGCATACTGATAAAAGTGTTCTTCCATCTTTAAGATTGAGTTACCATTATCTCCCTACTTATTTAAAACAATGCTTTGCTTATCTCTCAATTTTCCCAAAGGACTACGAATTTGAAAAGGAATATATAATTCTACTTTGGATGGCAGTGGGTTTAATTCCACAAGTTGAGAGTTGTAAAGGATTGGAAGAGCTTGGTGAGAGATACTTTGATGAACTATTGTCACGATCACTACTTCAAAGATCATTAATTAAGGAATCATCAAGTTTCACAATGCATGATCTCATTAACGATTTGGCTATGTTTGTGTCTGGAGAATTTTGTTTTAGGTTGGAGGAGGGAGAGTCGCACGAAGTTCCTAAAAGAGTAAGGCATTTGTCATATATGAGAGGAAGATTTGATACTGCCGCAAAATTTAAGTCATTGGATGAAATTAAGTGTTTGCGAACCTTATTTCCTATGTCTTTAAGACCATACAGAAAGTGGGATAAGAGCCTATATGTAAGCATAAAGGTTTTAGACGATTTGTTACCATCAGTAAAATGTTTACGGGTGTTGTCACTGTCAAGATATAAAAATATCACGCAATTACCTGATAACATTGGTAAACACTTAAACTTGCGCTACGTTGATCTCTCTCACACTGCAGTTAAAAAGTTACCAGGTATGATGTGTACTCTCTACAATTTGCAAACTCTATTGTTGGTCGGTTGTTCCTCTCTTGTTGAATTGCCTGCAGACATAAGGAAATTGATTAATTTGCGTCATCTTGATATCAGTGGAACTTGTATAAAAGAGATGCCGGTGCAAATGTGTAGACTAAAAAGTTTGAGAACATTGACTGCTTTTGTGTTGGGGGAATCTACTAGGTCGGGTGGCATTGGTGAACTGGGGCAATTGTCGAACCTTCGAGGAAAACTATCTATCTTGAATCTGCAAAATGTCGTCAATCATATGGATGCTTTGGGGGCCAATTTGAAGGATAAGAAAGATCTCAACGAAGTAGAGTTGGCATGGGGTCGTGAGGATGCAAATGATTCCGTAAAAGAGAGACATGTACTTGAAAGCCTACAACCTTCCGTAAATCTGGTGAAGCTCACCATCAGATTTTATGGTGGAACCAGCTTTCCGGATTGGTTGGGGGACTCCTCCTTCTCCAACATACAAGTCATGCGTCTCAGCGAATGTAGTACCTGCCTGTCATTGCCACCAGTTGGGCGGTACCCGCTCTCGAAGAGCTCTATATAGAAAGGATGAAATTTGTTGTGAGCATTGGTGTTGAGTTCTACGGGGGTAATGGAGCTTCTCTAAGTCAACCATTTCAATCTCTCAAGAAGCTAAAGTTCAAAGAGATGCCGGAGTGGGCGGAATGGCTACCATGTCCAGGCAGAGGTCAATCTCTAGACTTTCCTCGTCTCGAGGAGCTGAGTTTAGAGAATTGTCCGAAGCTGAGGGGAAACTTGCCCGATCATCTTCCTTCATTGAGACAGCTTTGGGTGTCAGACTGCGGGGTTCTACATGAAAGGGCTACCAGAACAAGATGGATACCTTGGTCTCTCATCGTCAACACGGAGTCCTTGCGACAATCTCTTGAACAACTGAAGATAGTTAGATGCCCTGGTCTGTCGTCGTTACTGGAGAAGGAGTCGCTTTCCTCGCTTTCCAAACTTGAGATTCAATTTTTTAGTCGCGGAGAATGCTTGCGGCCGCACTTGAGCAATTGTCTTAAAGATTTGACTCTGTATAACTGCGCATCACTCTTGTCGTTCCCTAGAAATGGTCTACCCACTTCGTTGACATTTCTTCATATAGAAAATTGCAGGAGATTAGAATTCCTATCTCATGAGATGATGGCCAAATTGACCTCCCTTCAACTTTTGAATTTGGTCAACAGCTGTGATTCACTGAGGTCCTTCCCGCTGGGCGTTTTCCCCAAACTTTCGGTACTTCAGATCTTGGACAATAAAAATCTAGAATCCCTTGCCATTGGAGAAGGAGCTGATGATGAAAATCTCACTCATCTCGACCATCTGGGTATCTTTGACTGTCCAAATCTGGTCTCTTTTCCCCACGGGGGATTGCGCACTCCCAAACTGGCTGGATTTATAGTCGATGGATGCGAGAAGTTGAAGTTATTGCCCGACCGAATACACACCCTCACCGCCCTTCGACGTTTGCGGATATACGGACTTCCAAATGTTGAGTCATTTGCAGAAGGGGGTTTGCCTCCCAACCTACAATCATTTGCAATCAGTGGTTGTGAGAAACTGAGGCCTTCGGTGGAGTACTGGGGTTTGCAACGACTTGTCTCCCTTCGAACATTTGAGATCTGGAGCAGCGAGGATCTGTTGGAGACGGTGCTCAAGGAACAGCTGCTACCTACCACTCTTCACTCTCTCGTAATCTCTGGAATGGAAAGTCTGAAATCTTTGGAGGGAAAGGGACTTCAACACCTCACTTCTCTTCAAGAGCTCGAAATTAGGGTGTGTGATAGTCTCGAATTCCTGCCAAAAGAGGGTTTGCCGGCATCGCTCTCTTTTCTGAGCATCGAAAAGTGTTCTTCCCTGGAGAAGAGGTGTCAGAAGAAGACGGGACAAGAGTGGAGCAAGATAGCTCACATTCCTTTCATCAAGATAGATGATCAATTCATCATTTGAGGCCTCAAGTCATAGTCAGGTACGTACATACCACCATTTTCGTTCCATAGCCAAGATTCAGACTCTGTAAAAGTTTCTCTTCAATTGTTTACTGTCATCTATACTTATACTCTGTTTAATTAATCAATCAATCAATCAGTCTTTAATTGTTTAATTCAACTACGCTACTCTAACAAAAACATGGTCCTTTAAATATCAGGACAATATCATCCAAGGGCAACATGTGTTTGCGTACATAAATTACTAGTTGTCGAATCGTGCCATGGCTGTCTGTCAGGAATATGATTCTCCTGCATGGGCGATGAGGTAACCCTGGATGATGTTTTTTTTCCCTTTCTCATGCTGATATGATTTGAGTGTGATAGAATGCACATTCATCTTAAGATAAGGAAAAGATCCAGATTGTCAAACTTGAACGCGTAACAAACTGGAATTTAATTTGAAGAAGCTGTGCTAATTAGGTTCCACTGAGACATATGCTTGTTTTCTTAGATCACTCATTAATTTAGTATCTTCAACTTTGAATTTAAGGTATCTTTCTGAGACAAGGTATGAAAAAGGAATGCGCTTAAGTTGACATCTGCCTTCAATATTGATGAGAAGAAACAAGCAACTTTTTGATTTGATGATGAATGGAAATGGGCGAAAGCACGTGAAGGTAAAACTCCACACAAGCTTTTCTTTGCCTCTAATTCTTGTGAAGGACTTTGATATATATATTTTTTTCCATCACAAGTAAAATTTGAATTTCTCTACTAGAGTTGTTTACTCAATATTTTAGGAATAAGAAATTCAGGAAAACTGGTTCCTAAATTTTCTTATTATTTTGCATCTTGGTACACCTCAAGTGATTACTACTCTGCTCCCACTAAAACTTTCACATTGCTATCTTTCCTTGTCAAATCATGTCTAAATTTTGTTCCCACTTTCATAGTTTGATTGCGATGATAAAATGGGAAAAGTAGGGACAAATGTGAAGGCACTATTCCTAAGGCTTTTGTAAATATGTTACATGTATCTGTAGAATTTTTCTTTAATCATTTAGGCTTATATATTAATCAAATATTAACAGTGAAATTCAACTATGCTTTCAGGGCAAAATTAGAATGTCACTAATGTGTTCGTCGGCTTTTCTGATGCAGATAGCAAACTGTTGAACTGTAAAGATTGGATTATCAAAGGCCAACGATTTTAATGCCCATCTATTAGTTGTCCATGAATGGTTCTCCTGCAGTGTGGCATGAATGTGATTCTCCTTTCAATTGGATAGGTAACCCTTGGAATGAAGTTTTACTCATATACTGTTCTTTTTTTCAATAAAAGCAGCATGCCTTTTCGTATTCTCTTCATGTTGCTACCATGTTCGAATGGGTGCAGACTTTTTGTACAAACACAGCTGTTGGAGTGAGAACGGGTGACGATGACCACAAAACAAAAATGAGAGCCAGGTTTCTTTGGAGCACTGCCCTCATGCTTCTGCTTGTTGGAAATCAGTACATTATGTTACTTGAGCAGGAAGAGCTGATGGAAATTTGTTATGGCAGCAGAGATGGTGGTGCTGCTATGAGCAATAAGGATGTCAATGGCAAGGCAGTGAGAAAGCATCGTAAAGTCAAGGAGTGGGCCAGGAATATTGAGACTTAAGTGGTTGAATTTGGCAGCAGAGATGGTGGTGCTGTTGATTATAGTTATTTCTTTGTGAATGCATCTTGATATTGTTGTTGGTTGGTTTTAGTTCTGTTTAAGAGGGCTTATGGTCTCGTGTGTTGGCGGGCATATCTGTGTTGATTCACCTAGCAAACAAGGGAAGGAGACCACCCTTGATCAGAGCGAATCTGTGAATTACTTCAATCCAGGAAAGCAGGACGAGTTGATGGAAACTTGTAATGCAGCAGAGATGGTGCTGCTGCTGTGGATGAGAATGATGCCAAGGGCAAGGCTGCAAGAGGGTGTCACAGGGTCAAGGAACACCGCGTTGAGACCAGAGAGGTTGATCTTGAGCTTCCCCTACCTCAGGGCACCATTAGCTGCCGAGGATGTGGGAAATATTTTGAAATTCTGTGAAACTTTTAGAGAGGTATTCTTACTTTTGTTGTATTATATATTTGATTAAAATGTTGCTCTAAACTTGTTTTAATTGATTTTGTGCACCTTTTCTTAGGTGCTATCTCTTTTTTTATTCTTCTTCTTTTTACTCTAGTTTTTTAAAATTGAAAAGTGCCAAGCTGAACAGTGCTCCATTGTTCGATTTCATAGCTATAAAGTACTTTAGTAAGCACTCTACCTAGTATATTATAGTTATGCATAAAGTACTTTAGTAAGCTTTGATGGTGAAAATAGTTCATGTGGTTTACACCAACTTTATTTTCTCTAAGGTCTCTAGAGCAAGCAAGAACCAACTGCTCATGGTTCCGAGATTTGGAGAACCTGATCTGCGTCCAGGGTCGCTAAGGTTGAAGGAGCTGCCTGCAGGGTGTTTTAGTGGAGGCGGGGATGGATATGATGCCTTAAGCTTTTAAATTTCCTCTGTGATGAGGCTCTTAACACAAAGTAAGTAGAAGATACATATTATGCAAATTATAATTTTGTAATTGTCCTGTTTTCTGCATTTCAAGTTACAAGATCTTTTCGTTCTTTCCTCCAGGACACTGAGGGGATGGATTGGGGAGCAAAATGAAAGATTGGCCAACGTAAAGAGGACTCGATAGCACAAATTTCATATCAGAGTTTGGGGATCGATAATATGAAGTTATTGCCCAAACATATGCACACCTGCACCACCCTTCAAAAATTGAGCACCTGGGATCTTCCAAATCTTGTGTCATTTGGTGAAAGGGGTTTGCCTCCCAACCTACAAACATTTCATAACTGAGATTGTGAGAAACTGAGGCCTTCAGTGGAGAAATGGGGTTTGCAACGACTTGTCTCCCTTCGAAGATTTCAGATCAGCAGCAAGGATGTGTTGAAGACGTTGCTCAAGGAACAGCTGCTTCTTACCGCTCTTCACACTCTTGCAATCTCTTATCTATCAAGTCTGAAATCTTTGGACAGAAATGGACTTCAACACCTCACTTCTCTTCAAAAGCTATATATTGGAAGGTGCGATAGTCTCGACTTCCTGCCAAAACAGGGTTTTCTGGCATCTATTTCTTTCCTGAACATCACCAGATGCCCCTCTGTGAAGAAGAGGTATGAGAACAAGAAGGGAAAAGAATGGAGAAAGATAGCTCATATTCCTTGCATGAGATAGATGACGAAGTCATCATGATATGATCTCTCTCTCTCTCTCTCTCACCAAAACTTTTGCTTCTCATTTCACTCTCAACTCTCTAAAATCAGGTACTTTATCTTTTATTTGTTATATTGATTGTCTTAACTTTTCTACATAAAATCTACATAGAAATTTTTCTTTCATTTTTATAGTTAACCATTCTTACTTGTTTCGCCATATTTTTTTGTTGCACAATATATATATATATATACACACACACACACATAAATGGTGCTGGTTCATAACTTTAGTGATGTAAAGCGGAGGAGTATCCTGTTTCATCCCCTATCTAAGATTTAAAGAGAGAGTGGACGATCCCGCTGAATTCTTTTCTAAGTTTCAGAGTTCAATTACTAAAATAAAAGGAACAGGGCAGAGTAAAATTTGTCACATGCATCTGCAGAAATTTCTATTGAATTGTTTAGGCCCAGCATACTGCATCGCTTTCTTGTTCTGTTTTCTTTTCCCTTTAAAGAAAAATGTTTCTTGAAATTTTCAGAAGAATGTGATGGGAATGACTTATTTATGTGCGTTCTGTGGAAATGGAAAGACATGATTATCTGAGGAAACCAAAATTACGACAAGTTTTAGTCCTTGAATGCCACTCGGTGGCTCTGCCTCTGCCCATCCGGCATGAATATGATTCTCCTGCATCGGAAAAGGTAACCCCACCTGAGTATGATGGTTTTCACATGCTGGTGTGGTTTGAACATGGCGGCATGATTTTATCATCTTTCAATTCCATAGCCAAGATTGTGTGCTGCCTCATGGCTGTGCTTCCTTGTAATGTATAGAGCTGGCTTGAATACCTGTACATTACGTTTACTAGACTAGGTGGCTTGCTGTTGTAGCAACAGATTTCATTCCATAGCCAAGATTCAGATTCTGTAAAAGTGTCTCTTCAATTGTTTACTGTCATCTATACTGTGAGTTTCTAATTGTTTAATTTAACTACGCTACCCTTTAAAAAATATGCTTCTTTATATTTCAGGACAATATCATCCAAAAGCAACACGTGTTTGCTTAAATGAATTACTAGTCGTCAAATCGGGCTATGGCTATCTGTCTTCATGAATATGATTCTCCTGCATGGGCGATGAGGTAACCCTGGATGTTTTTTTTCCCTTTCTCATACTGATGTGATTTGAGTGTGGTAGAATGCATATTCATCTTATGATAAGGAAAAGATTCAGATTGTCAAACTTGAACGCGTAACAACTGGAATTAATTGGAAGAAGTGCTTTTTAGGTTCCACTAAGACATATGCATGTTTTCTTAGATCACTCATTAATTTATAGTGTCTTCGACTTCGAATTTAAGGTATCTTTCTGAGACAAGGTATGAAAAAGGAACACGCTCGAGTTGACATTTGCATTCAATATCAATGAGAAGAAACAAACATTTTTTCGATTTGACGATGAACGGAAGCGAGCGAAACCACGTGAAGGTAAAACTCCACGCGATCTTTTCTTTGCCTCTAATTCTTGGACTTTGATATATTTTTCTTTCATCACAAGTTAAATTTGAATTTCTCTACGGGAGTTGTTTGCTCAATATTTTAAGAATAAGCAAATTCAGGAAAACTGGTTCCAAAATTTTGTTCCCACTTTCAGAGTTTGATTGGGATGATAAAATGGGAAAAGTGGGGAAAAATGTGAAGGCATTATTCCTAATGCTTTTGTAAATATGTTGCACCTTATCTGTAGAATTTGTCTTTAATCATTTAGACTTATATACTAGTCAAATGTTAACAGTGGAATTCAACTATGCTTTCAGGGCAAAATTATGTCACTAACGTGCTCCTCGCCTTTGCTGATGCAGATAGCAAACTGTGGAACTGTAAAGATTGGATTATCCAAGGCCAGTGATTGTAACGTCCATCAATTAGCTGTCCATGAATGGTTGTCCTGCAGTGTGGCATGAATATAATTCTCCTTCAATTGGATAGGTAACCCCAGGAATGATGTTTTACTCATATATTGCTTTATTTTCAATACAAGCAGCATTCCTTTTCATCTTCTCTTCATGTTGCTGCATCTTTGGGTGGGTGCAGATATGTTTTTATACATACACAGCTCTGTTGAAGTGAGAACGGGTGATGATGACCACAGAACAAAATGAGAGCCAGGTTTCTATGGAGCACCACCCTCATGCTTGCCCTCGTTGGAATTCTGTCCATTATGTTACTAGAACAGGTGGGTGGTTGCTGCACTACACATTTCACAGGAGTGATATTTCTTATGTTGAACAGTGCAGATAATAAAAATTGTGTTCCATTTCACTTTTGTTTCTTCAGAATTGTTTCTGAAAAGTTCATAAATAAACATCTTTTTTTCCTTTTAATTGAGATAAAGAGAGATGGTGTAGTCAGAGAAACGCTGATTATATTCATCAATATAAAGAAAAAGTCCACTTGTTAACTGTGACGTAATATAATGAATAGCTCATGTATAAGTTGATGCTAATTCAATCTATTTATTAGTTGGAATTATTTAAGAAGCTGCACCAATTAGGTTTCATTTTAAGAACCATTTGCTTGTTTTCTAAGATCAATTCCATCGTTTATAATTTCACCATATTTGAATTTAGCAGTATTCATACATGTTGAACTGGGGTATGAAAAAGAAAAGCACTTGTGTTGGCGTCCTATCGAAACAGATATGAGAAGAAACAGGATTTTCACATCTTGATGTGGAAATGAAGTGGGAGAACGCATTGATCTGAAGGTAAAGCTGTCTTCTTTCACTGCATTAACTGTGCACATAGCCTCCATGAAATTTTGTTGGAATGTCCACATACTCCTTAAAGAGAACGATTTTAATCTGAAATTGTGCCCATTGTCACAGCCTATGAAGCAATCCAAAGGAACTGAGAGATTACAGCATTTTGCTATATCATTGGGGATGTTATGAGCTATCCCTTGAGTTATATTAGGACAAAAAGGTATGTTTTCTATATGTGCGGTAACATTTGACTACAATTGGAATCTAATAAAATATGAGCAATCCCTTCGAGTATGTTCAAGCCGAAGAAACAAGGGGAGATGGATGTCGAAAGCAAGGATGGTTTGCCGCAAAAAATGTATGGATTCAAACAAGGTTTTAGTGACGTTCAAGCAGGTTTATGCCCTCGAGTTTTGATAGGTAACCGGTGTTGGTTCACCAAGAAAACGAGGGAAGGAGAAGTCTCTTGGTGGAAGCAAAGATATGTACTTGGATGCATCTCCGAATCTGAATCTGAATCTGTTCTTCTTGTTTGTTTTTACTCCAGTTTTAAAAATTGAAAGTCCGAAGCTGAATCTGTTCTTCGAGAACTGTCACATGGAGGAAGTGTACGACAGTTTGTGATGGGAGTGATTTATTTGTGTACACTCTCTGGAATTGTAAAGACGTGGTTATCTGAGGCGACCAAAATTACGACAAGTAGTAGTCCTTGAATGCCGCTCTGTGGCTCTGCCTATCTGGCATGAATATGATTCTCCTGCATTGAAAAAGGTAACCCCACCCGAGGATGATGGTTTTCACATACTGGTGTGGTTTGAATACGGCAGCATGATTTTTTCATCTTTCACTTTAAACTTCAGGTAGAAACAGCGCGGATATGTTGAAGAGTGTGTGGGCTCGTTGCGTGCTGCCTCTTGGCTGTGCTTGCTTGAATACCTGTAGATTGGCGTTTACTAAACTAGGTGGCTTGCTGTTGTGGCAACAGATTTCCCCGGGGAAGGATACATCTTCATCCTGGTCATGAATACTGCACAATGTAAAAATATGAAGCGAGAAATAGGGTCACTTTGTCGCAATCCCCTACTCAGATGTATGTTGCAGTCAACACTAGGTGGCTTGCTGTAGGACGCTGGGCTTTGCAGTCAACACTTCATTGGCGCTCCTTCATTGTGTAAAGAATCTCAACGTTATGATTGAGTCAATTAAAATATTGATATGTATATTCCACAAAAAAAAAAAAAAATCTTAATTAATTGTTTCTGAGTCACCAGTTTTTATTTCTTTTCTTTTGAAAGGGATCGGTTAATAAAAAATAGGGTAAAAGACTGTTTACTACCCTCATGTTTCGTGGTTTTCAACATTTAGTACATCAAGTTTTTTTCGTCTCAGAGTCATGCCTAAAGCGTAAATTTTGGGACAGTCTCATACATCCGTTAGTCAAACTGTTAAATGTGCCGTTAATTGTGACGTGGCGCCCATGTGGACAATGACTGGGCGCCACGTGTCAGTGATGTTTTTTTTCTTTTTTTTTTCTTCCTCCGACTGCAACTTTTTTTTTTCTTCCTCCTTCTCCTTCTTCCTTCCTCCTTCTTCCTTCCCCTTCTTCTCCTTCTTCCTTCTTCTTTCCTTCTCCCTTCTCCTTCTCCTTCTTCTTCCTCCGAATTTGGGGAAGTTTTTTTTTTTTTTTTTTTTTTTCCTTCTTCCTCCTCCTTCCTCCTTCTTCCTTCTTCCTTCTCCTTCCTCCTTCTTCCTTCCTCTTCTTCTTCTTCTTCCTTCGAATCTTCCCAGATTCGATTTTTTTTTTCTTCCTTCTTCTTCTCCTTCCTCCTTCCTTCTTCCTTCCCCTTCTTCCTTCTTCTTCCTCCGAATCTGGGGAAGATGAAGGTTTTTTTTTTTTTTTTTTTTTTTGAGGAAGATGAAGAAGAAGGAAGAAGGAAGAAGGAGAAGAAGGGGAAGGAAGAATGAGGAAGGAAGAAGAAGGAGGAAGAAGAAGAAACAACAAAAAAAAAAGTTGCAGTCAGAGGAAGAAGAAGAAGAAGAAGAAAAAAAAAAAAAAGCCGAATTTGGGCAGATTCGGAGGAAGAAGAAGAAGAAGAAGATGAAGAGGAAGGAAGAGGAGGAAGGAGAAAGAAGGAGGAAGAAGGAGAAAAAAAAATAAAAAAAACTTCCCCAGATTTGGAGGAAGAAGAAGAAGAAGAAGGAGAAGGAGAAGGAGAAGAAAGAAGAAAAAAGAAAAAAAAAAGATTCGGAGGAAGAAGAAGGAAGAAGGAGGAAGGAGAAGGAAGAAGGAAGAAGGAGGAAGAAGAAAAAAAAAAAAACTTCCCCAGATTCGGAGGAAGGAGAAGGAGAAGGGAGAAGGGAGAAGGGAGAAGGGAGAAGGAAGAAGAAGGAAGAAGGAGAAGAAGGGGAAGGAAGAAGGAGGAAGGAAGAAGGAGAAGGAGGAAGAAAAAAAAAAGTTGCAGTCGGAGGAGGAAGAAGAAGAAGAAGAAGAAGAAAGAAGAAAGAAGAAGAAAGAAAAAAAAAACGTGGCTTACACGTGGCGCCCATTCATTGTCCACATGGGCACCACGTCACAATTAACGGCACATTTAACAGTTTGACTAACGGATGTATGAGACTGTCCCAAAATTTACACTTTAGGTATGACTCAGAGACGAAAAAAAACTTGATGTACTAAATGTTGAAAACCATGAAACATGAGGGTAGTAAACTGTCTTTTACCCTAAAAAATATGTATATAAAATAAAACTTAAATTGGATTTTCTAGAAAAATTTAGCTAGTGTTTAACCTTAGTTAGAGAAAATAAAATTAGTGTTCTGCGATATGTCTATTATTACTTGGCCAGAATTTTATCAGATACTGGTGCACAAGGTGTAAGCACTGGTGGTGGGATCCTAACTCCAAACTGGGATGCCCTAGCTGACATTGATGTTGTTGGAGGAGTTACTAGAGCTGATGTTGTACCAATAATAGTGAATCAGCTTACAACAGAGGCTTCAAATGCTAATGCAGAATGTAAAGTATTTTTCAGAGTTTCTCGTAGTTTAATAGGCTTCTTTTTATCACTGCATTTCATGGTTTCCATTTTCGGAGTGACTTAGAGTAGCATGCTGTCTATTAGAGCAATTCCAGCGGGGACAAAACGTCCCAGCCTTCAGTCCAAAAAACAAACCAGGCCCCTGTCAATCAAGTCCACCCCCACAAGTTGACTGGTACCCAGCCCGAGCTGGGCAAGAGCCCAGCCTAAAAGAGACTGAGACAGAAGCCGGGGAGGAAGCCTGGCGCGTGCGCTTCACGCAGCCGTGGCGCGAATGCCCGATAAGCTTTCAGAGCTCGGGCCCGCGTGCAGGCGCTGTCAGTTCCACCCCCCGAGTTTGCGACATGGCTCCCTCTCTGCCGTTGGATTTCCAACGGTTAGTTTTCTAGACCGTTGGATTTCCAACGGTAAAAAAATTTTAAATTTTACTTTTAAAATAGACCGTCGGATCAAATATCAACGGTCCACGTTTTTTTCACAAAAAGTAAATAAAAAAAAGGGCCCAACGGTCAGAAATATGACCGTTGGCCACGTGGCAACTCCCTAGCTCTTGGATTTGAATATTTTTCAAATCCAACGGTCCAGATTAATTAACTATATTAAAATTCATTAAAAATTATTAAAAAATACAGAAAAATTATTAAAAAATACAGAAAATTTTAAAAAAATTACAAAAAATTTTGGAAAATGTTAATTTTTTTCCTATAAATACCTAACCCTCATCTTCTACCTTTACACCACATTCCAATATTTTCTACACTTTCTATACTATCTACATTTCAATATTTTCTACACTTTAAGAGAAAAAAATGTCTTCGTGGAAGCTCATTGAAGTTGTTCCGTTGTGTGAATGTTGGGTTCACACTACTCATGATCCGATTACGGGTAATGAGATGGATAAGCGAGAAATGTGGAGTAAAATTACGAAAGCGTTTTGTGATGTACATGGAGAAAACGCCAGAACTAGTCAAGGTTTTCAAGGTCGTTGGAAAAAACTCAACGCATCCTTTACTTGTTGGAAAAACGCCATCTCTCATGCTTCCGGTAACCTCCGTAGTGGGACAAGTTTAGCGGATCAGGTGACAATATTTTTATTTATTTATATGCATTCCACTCACATTAATATTTTGATTTATTTAATTTCGTATGTAATTTTTATGTTATTTCTTATGTAATTTTTATTTAATTTCTTATGTAATTTTTATTTAATTTCTTATGTCATTTTTATGTAATTTATATGCATTCCACCCGTATTAATATTTTGAATTTATTTATTTGTGTTACACCCGCATTTTTTAACACTATGTTATCCCACATTTTTATAGACACTACAAGCTCAAGCATTCTACAATTCAAAGAACGGGAACAAATCATTCACTAGATGGGAATGTTGGCAAATTGTCAAAGATTGCCCTAAATACAAAATTGTCGCAACTGGTCCAGAAGTTGTCATGCACGGTATGGGTCTACATAGTTCTCCAGAACCAGACATGGCCGAACAAGAAGCCGACACATTTAAAGACACGGAAGGGATGCCTGAACAAGTGCCCGAGACCCAACCGACTCGTCAGTCCCTCAGGCCCGTAGGTAAAAAGGCGTCAAAGAAAAAATGTAGTTCTTCCAAGAATGACTACACTAAATATATGGAGGAACTTACTCGCCAAGGTGAACTGAACATGGCACGAGAAAAGGTTAGAGATGAGGAAAAAGTTGCTGCTATGGCAGCAATATTAGCAGCTACTGAGGCCGGTGATGCGGCGGTTGAGAGACAAAGAGAAGTAGTTAATAGAGAGAACGAGCTGGTTAGAGAAGCACTTCATCGAGAAAATGAATTGCTTCGAGAAGAAATGATGGCTCAAGTAGATCGTGACACTATGAGCAAATCTCTAGTAGGACTGTCTCCGAATTCTAAATATTTTTAGACATCGGAAAAAAGAGATGTCATGCGAAGGAGGCGTGCAAGAGATGCGGAAACAAGTCAAGGGGGTTCTAGCAACTTTTGTGACAACCAAGATCCTCGCACCACATATCCTAACTCGAGAGACTTTGTATAATTTTTATGTATTTTTTATGTTTTTTCTTTCTTTTTTCTTTTGAACTTTATTTAATTTCTTATGTTTTTTTCTTTTTTTAGGTTTGAACTTTATTTAATTTCTTATGTAATTTTTATGTTATTTCTTATGTAATTTTTAAAACTTTATTTATTTTTATTTAATTTATTATGCAATTTGAATGTAATTCTTTATTTATTTTTAAAACTTTATTTCTTTTGTACTTTATTTAAACACATGAAATAAGATTACATAAACTCACCAAATAAATTTAAAAACAAAACACACTACATAGAATTACATAAACTCACCAAATAAATAGAATTACATAAACTCACCAAATAAACTTAAAAACAAAACACACTACATAGAATTACATAAACTCACCAAATAAATAGAATTACATAAACTCACTAAATAAACTTAAAAACAAAACACACTACATAGAATTACATAAACTTAAAAAAAAATACAATTTATTCTTCAACCACAAGCCTCATTCTAATTATCTTCGCCTTCATGCAATCCCCACTGGTGCTCAATCAAGTCATTCTGGCGGGTTACGTGCCAGTATGGCTCTTGCACATTAGTGTAACGTTGAACGATCAATTCATTGTAACGTCCATCGCGTTCCAACGGCTCGTGTTGCACTGGATCTTCGGTCCCATCATGAGCACAATAGATACGTGTTCTTGAGTTGTTCATCGGATCCGGCTCATATTCATCGACGCCATCATAATCATACTCATCTTCAACAATCATGTTGTGGAGAATAATACACGTCATCATGATGGATCGAAGAGCCTCGACATCAAACATTCTAGCTGCAGCCCTGATAATCGCCTAACAAGCTTGCATGATACTAAAACAACGCTCGACATCCTTCCTACACCCTTCTTGACATTTTACAAAGTGTTTTTCCTTTTCAGTCTGTGGATGTGGCACTGTTTTGACAAATGTTGACCACCTTGGGTAAATGCCATCTGCAAGGTAGTATGATCCCTCGTATTGGGTACCATTAATGGTATATGTGCATCTCGGCGAGTTTCCTTGCAGCAGTTCGTCGAATACTGGGGATTGGGCAAGGACATTTAAGTCATTCTGAGCTCCTGGAACACCAAAAAAAGCATGCCAAATCCATGTATCAAATGAAGCCACCGCTTCCAAAATGATGCTTTTGGCTCATTTTCTGTTGCCATAGGCTCCTTGCCACGCACTTGGACAGTTTTTCCAAGTCCAGTGCATGCAGTCCATGCTTCCAATCATGCCAGAGAAGCCTCGCATCTCACCCTTCCTCAGAAGCCTTCGCATGTCCCTTGGCGTGGGTGTCCGGAGGTACTCATTGGTGTAGAGGGCTTTAATTGCAGAGCAAAAACGCATCAGGGACTCTAAAACAATTGTTTTTCCCATCCTCGCGATCTCATCCACTTGATCTGCAGATGCTCCATATGCAAGCATTCGCAAGGATGCCGTAATTTTTTGCTCGGGAATGAGACCTAGAACATGAAAAGCATCCTCTTTTTGCACAAAGTATGAATCATGGTTGCAAATATCACTCATGATTTTGTTGAACAAATTTCGTTGCATTCTAAAACGCCGTCTAAAAATATGATCAAGGAATATGCTATTGGGAATAAAATAATCTTCCAATAGATTTTTACCTCGTTTTTCCCTTTTTCTATCGAGGTTTGCAACACGTCTTGGTTTGGTTATCTGACCCACGGCTTCCATGACATGGCGGGAATGTGAGGCCTTCTGCCTTCTATGGTGATCATCATCATCCTCCTCCATGAAGAAAGCCTCATCTCCACCTCCACTTCCACCTTCCTCGAGATTGGCCAATTCTGCCTGTTGTGCCAACAACCTTTGTTGTTGCTCCTGCAACTGTTTATACACCCTTCTTGAAGAAGACATTGTAATAAGAACTTAAGATTTGAAAACGATGAACAAGGATTCTGAGCTAAAAAGAAGGATTGAGCTTGGTGTGAGGATGGATGTAGGGATGTAGGGTTTATATGGACAAAAAAAGAAAGGATGAGGTTCTGGACAATGCCACGTGGCACTACGTGATTGGTTGAAAATCTTATCGAAATTATTGTAAACCGGAAGTGACACGTGGCATGTCGGGATTGGTCGAAAATATTATCGGAAATCTATCCACAAAATAGTACGTTCAGATAATGACACGTGGCATGACGTGATTGGTTGAAAATCTTATCGAAATCTTGGCTAAATTATTGTAAAACGGAAGTGACACGTGGCGTGTCGGGATTGGTTGAAAATCTTAGCGGAAATCTATTCATAAAATAGTACGTTCAGATAATGACATGTGGCGTAACGAGATTGGTTAAAAATCCTATCCGAAATTAAAACTATTTTATTTTTTTATTCTTTTAGACAAAATTTAAAAATATCTTAAATGGGCTGGGTGCCAGCGCATTTTGTAGGGATGGAGATCGTTTGTGCCAGCGCATTTTTTCACTAGGTGCCAGCGCATTTTTTTAGGGGTGGAGATGCCTTGGCCTATTACTGTTCATTGGAGTTTGTTACTGTTCATTTGAGTGGATAAATGCGCTGGGTGCTGGCGCAAAGTCCTTAGGGGTGGAATTGCTCTTAAGAGAACGCAATGCACAAAGTTCTATATTCCAGCACATACTAAGGACACACTTTATCTATTTTAAGTCTATATGGTCTTTGAACGTGGCGTGAAATGGACTTGGTTAACTAACCTTTAAATTCTGAGGGGTTTTGAGCTAGGTCTTCTAAACTATTTCTTGTCTTTTTCTTTTTTGAAAGAAAGAAACTCTATAAAACTATATGCACAGAAGTTAGTAGATAAGTATGTAAAATGTGCCATTTAAATGGAAATCTTTTATATGATAGTTTAGAATATGATGGTTTGATTAATGTTCCTTTTGTTATAGTGCTAGAGATGGTAGGTGAAGTTTTTAGCCAGACTTCTGAGAGATCTTATCTAGTGTTCTGCTTATTCCATTAAGCTATTCTGTTAGTCTTAGTATAGTCTTCTTTTTCAATTGTTTAAGAATAACAGGTAGGAATTGCAGCTTCCTGGTGGTCGGGTGCTTTCTTTGTAATTACGGTTTTACGAGTGTTGTTGATTTTACTTAATTATGAAACTATGTGATGGCAGCTTCAGTATTCTCACATTGTAGTTGTAGATGGTGGGTTTTACAAATAAATTTGAAAATTTTCTTATCTGCTGTTACATTACTTGTAGGTGAGGGTTTGATAGAAGTATTTATGCATTTGAATTTTGAGTAGAAAGTAGTACTTTTTCTTTTCTTTTTTAATGTTAATTTAATGTGACTGATTAATAGTCTCACTATTTCATTGCTTTTTAATATTAACTTAATGTCACATAAGAGAATTAGGGGAGATATTCTTAAACAGGGACAAAGTAATTGCATCATCCGGGGTGTGTTTTTAAGAGTGGAGATATAGGTCATGTTTATTGACGTAGACTATTTTTTGTTGAAGTTCATGCGCGAAGACTGCAAGCTTTGAAGGCTCTTACATATGCTTCTTCAACCAATTCTGAAATAGTGTCCAAATTGTACGAAATAGTGTTTGGCATTCTTGATAAGGTATGAGTTTGGGTTATCTCATATATACTCATTTATTTCTTACAATAGGGCTATGTCTGAATCATCTTAGAATTGGGTTCTTGATGGTACAAAAGAGTAATTTTGGTATAGAGTGACGGTAACCTTCTAACCAAATAAAGCCATACAAAATTATGAGATGTAAGGGGGAACTCTAAGCTTTATGAAGCTCTGTTATTGCGGCAGCTAATATATTTGCCTGTGTATATGCCTTGGGGGAATCCAAATATCTAAATGTGGTTGTGGGGCTTTGAACACCTTGTATAGTTTTACGGATGGATTTGGATATCAAAAGGAGATTGAGAGTGCTTGCATTTTTGTTTATTGTAAGGATGCAGTTCTGGTTGTGAATGCCTATGGATCAATGCTACCAGCAGCATTAGATGTTGTCAATCCATGCAATATATCACTTGCATATCGATACAGCTTGGGATTAAATTTATCTTCCAACAGTAACATATATTGTTCAGTGCAGACAACATTTTGCTAAAGAGAATATTTTGCAAGATATTGATCCTTTTCTAAACTCTCTCTTTGAATCAATATCAAACAGATAATGGCTCTATATAATGTTTTTTTTTACTGGTTTCATGGAGATATTCTTCAATTCTTCAAATGTCTTCTCTTTTCCGCATTTTAATTTCTAGGTTGCTGATGGCCCACAAAAACGCAAGAAAGGTATGATTGGGACTAAAGGTGGTGATAAAGAGGTAAAGTACATCTACTCAAAGGTTTTTTTTTTTAATTTTTATGCTGGAAGGAAGGCCTGGAATTGTATTTAATGGCGGGTTCCCCTACATGTGGTACAAGTGTTTTTTTCTTATGATTGAGAACTGGGTACACATCTTAATGCTAACGCGTACCTATCATTAATGGGTCATGTAGTTTTTCTTAAATTTTTCTGTGAGTTATTTACATACAAGATTTAATATTGGGGAAGGGGCTTTTTTCCATGGAAGACAGATTTTGGATGCCGTTCTAATTGCAAATGAAGTGGAGGAAGTTAGGAAGAAGAAGATAGTTTGGCTGGTCACTGGTGTTTAAGATAGATTTTGAGAGGCCACATAATCACGTGAATTAGGGTTTTGGATTTGTTGGAATTTGGAGAAAGTGGATGTTTGAATCTGTATGCTTACGTAAAACCTGGGGGGTGGGGGTGGGGGTGCCCAAAGCCTGTGGTGCCCATAAGGATGCTCAGAATCTGACTTGTTCAAACATCTCTCCTCTTTTTTTTTGGTTACAAAAACCTATTACAATTTCTAAAAAAATTCTTCTACTATGCACCTGCATTTTTTCTTGTTCCTTATCCCATATGGTCGTTGAATTTCCCAACCGAGCTGATTACGTATGCTTTAGTTAATCCATGTTTTATATACATTCTTTAATTTTCATTTTCAACTTCAGTTCATCATCCGGAGTAACTTGCAATATGCTGCCCTAAGTGCTTTGAGGAGACTTCCGTTGGATCCAGGAAACCAGGCATCTCTGTATCGTGCTGCCCAAGGGTGTGTTTTCCTTCATTCTGGGAGTCAACTTTTCATTGCATAGAGATGTTGCTTGGGAATATTTTTCCATATCAATTTTCTTATACAATTTCGACAATTGCATGTGGCACATATCCATTTGTTTCCGATATTTTCTTCTGCCATATATGTATTTTTACTTGCATGAGGTTGAGTTTTAGTTGGAGAAGTTTTTTTTCGATGAAATATTTTCAACTGATTCGTTCTGTTTTTCTCATGTCCTTTTTAAGCTTTGAATCTATTTTTACGCATCCTTTAAATTTCAACACTTACTTAATTCGTATTACTTCTCAATGATTGGTGGGATATCTTTAGAAACTGTACCTCTGTTGTGAAATTGGTTCTCTAAGTCAAACAAGTTTATGTTACACTTCAGGGTTTCATTTGCCGATCCAGTTGCTGTACGGCATGCATTGGAAATTTTATCTGAGCTATCTACAAAAGATCCTTATGCGGTTGCAATGGGCTTAGGTGATTTGATTAATTTAACCTTTTTAAAGCTTCCGCTTTCTTATTGTGTGAAACTAAGTTTCATATCTTTATGCTTCTAATACTTTTCAATTCATTACTTTGTGCAGAGAAACATGCAGAGCCTGGAGGTATGTTTCCCAATATTTGTTTCTTAATCTGAGAAAAAGAAAAGATAACAAAGGATCCAATTTTTACCGTGGAAAAAGAAAATGGCTTTAGGTTCAGACAGGCTTTCTAGCCAATCATTTTAACTCGGGCTTAGCTAATATAGGTGACGAGAACATTTCAAATTTGTTGACAAAAAAAATGAACATTTTTAATTTTTTTTGTTTGCCTGGCTCCTTTAGAAATTGTTCATTCTATTTGTAGGAAGGCAAAGAAAATAAAGACATGTTCGTTTACAAGATATGGTTTTGCAATGAGTTTTGTGAATGAAATGAGTTTGGTCTCATCTGGTTCAATGCCGTTTTAGATTTCTTTTTTCATGTTGAAATGTCAAATTGTCAAATTGTAAAGTTTGTTTGTATCTTAATATGCTCAAATTGTTTGTTCTTACTGCATTTTGTGGTGCCTTGGTTTGTTCTATGTATCAGGAGCTTTGCAGGATGTCCTCCATTTGCATGATGTTCTTGCTAGAGTTGCTCTAGCGAGGTTGTGCTATACAATTTCTAGAGCACGAGCCTTGGATGGTAAGTCTATACGATGAATTCTTCTTCTTCTTCTTCTCTCTCTCTCTCTCTCTCTCTCTCTCTCTCTCTTTCTCTGTGTTTAATTTATCTGTTTCCTTGTAAGTTATTTGTTTGTTTTTAAATGTGTCTACAGAGAGGCCCGATATTAAATCTCAGTTCAATTCTGTGCTTTATCAACTCCTCCTGGATCCCAGCGAAAGAGTCTTTTTTGAGGCAATTTTATGTATATTGGGAAAACATGGTAGTGCAGAGAGGTGTATTATAAGCCTTCCTTTTATATTGATTGCATCCCTTTTGTCAGCACAAGGTCGTAATTAGATGGTAGATTGTTGTATAACTCAGTGTTCGACCCACATATTCCCCCGGATATAATTTTCTTCATTTACTTGGTTCTAATTTCTATTTGCTTAACTTTTCAATATGTAGGGCCGAAGACCGGGGTACTGGGTGGTACCGATTGACTAGGGAGATTCTCAAGTTTCCAGAAGCACCTTCTGGGAAGGGTTCCTCAAAAGATAAATCTCACAAGACAAGGCAACCACAACCCCTTATCAAACTTGTAATGAGAAGGTTTAAGGATCTCTCTCTCTCTCTCTCTCTCTCTCTCTCTCTCTCTCTCTCTCTCTCTCTCTCTCCTTTTGGTATCATAACCCGGTGAAAATTGATGTTAAGAGGTAGTTTTTGAAGCGTATTTTCATATGTAGGAGTCTGGTTGAACTTAAAATGTTGCAAAAATAATATAAATTTAAAAATACAAAATTCCCTTTGGTCAACTGTCACATGGGGCAAAGTTCAGGTGGTATTGCTAAAGTTTTCTCTTTGTAAAACTTATAAATTATATTCTCTTGATTTTGTGCTTCCTGTTTTTTACAGGTTGGAGAGTTCTTTCCGTAGTTTCTCTAGGCCAGTACTCCATGCAGCAGCAAGAGTTGTGCAGGAGATGGGGAAGAGTCGGGCTGCTGCATTTGCTATAGGAATACAGGATATCGATGAAGCAGTGCATGTTAATACATTTTCCGAGTCTCTCGATTCGCAGGATTATAATATTAATGAAACCGCGCATCCTGAAAGTAAATTTTCAACTTTTTTATCTTTTGACAGGATCTCTTGTAAGTTGTAACCTTTTAGATACTGGTCAATAGCTTCAGTAGCATCTTCCATCTAATATTTTAGAGGATCAATGATCATTAATATTGATGATATCAACTGTGTAGATTATGTAGCTATACAATGAGTGATGTGAGTCACTGGAAATATCTCATTAGTTACGGTTTATATACATATACATATATATATATATATATATAGAATTTGCATGTATGATTTTGTGTATATACATATGGGCATGTTTGTATTCCTTTTGTCCCAATGGACTTTGAGTAATAGGCATTAGAGTGCCTTTATAATTATCATTAATTATTTATGAGTATGCTATGAGTTCTGCATCTGGTGTGAGCTCTACAACTTGTCCCCTGTATTGCACTATTTTTTAGTAATGAAAGTATGCGTCTTATACGTAAAACAAAAGGATGCTCTTAATTCAGCAGTTACACGTGTCTGGTGTATAAATTTATGGAATATTAATTTCATATATGTTTCAAGCCAAAGTCATGCTTGGTTTTTAGTTACTTTTATCATGGGGAATTTTGCACCAAATATACTTGAGAACAGTTCGTGCATGAAAATTTTGCAGATGTTTATCTGGCATAGGTTTGATGATTGAATTTTTAAATCAACATGTTTCACAGAGTGAAGATTTTATATTATTCTGGTTCTCCAGGACATGCATTGCTTTATAAATATATAGGTTTTTTATTTGTATTTTCCATTTCAAGATCAGGAATGTAAAATGTGTCTGGTTAGAGTGTTTTTTTGTAGCAAAGTCATTTCAGTGTATATTTGATACTTTTTATCAAAAATTTCACTCTCAATTTTGTTTTTCTTTAATCTCTTTGGGAAAACGATATGCCATATTTAATTTCTGTTTTTTGTGGCTAGCATAACATAAGTTGGAATTTTCCATAAGGTCGTACCCAGTGCACAAGGCTCCCGCTTTACGCAGGGTCTAGGAGAGGTGAATGTCGGCTAGCCTTACCTCCATTTATGGAGAGGCTGCTCCCAAGTCTCGAACCCGAGACCTACCGCTCATGGACGAAGGCACTTGCCATCGCACCAAGTGCGACCTCTTTGGAATTTTCCATGTTAGAGTAAAATAGGTAGAAAACACATGATATGTTGTAACAAGGTAGGTAAATGTAAATGAGGCCTGCACTTTCTCCCAAAGTATTTTGGAAATATGTAGGACTTATACTGTTTGCTTGTGTTTTTACTAGCCATGTTCTTTTATATATTTTTAAAGGATGAATAGTTAGTACAGTGGAATGCGATCTAATTATGTTTCGTGGTTTCCCTTCCCACCACATAGGCATTCGAAGAACTTCTTCTGTATCTGCAGGAGTAGGTGGCAAGGATACAATTGCTAGTTTGTTAGCTTCATTGATGGAAGTTGTGCGGACAACTGTAGCATGCGAGTGTGTTTATGTTCGAGCAATGGTAATTAAGGCACTCTTCTGGATGCAAAGTCCCCACGATTCGTTTGATCAACTAGAATCTATTATTGCATCAGAGCTTTCTGATCCAGCTTGGACAGCCACACTATTGAATGATATTTTACTCATTTTGCATGCTCGTTTTAAGGTAATTTCAACTACTTTGGAAGGTAATTTCCTTCAATCCTCACTACAGGCAGTTCTTATGTATTTGAATAATTATGTATGTCTTGTACATTGTATTATTTTCTTGCATTTCTTTTAGTGAAGTCTCTGTTTCTTGTAAAAGAATTTATTGCCGTATGTTTTCCACTGCTGCTTATGTGCGTAGTGAGTTATCATGATATGTTCTTACCTTTTCTTTTTCCTTTTGTTTTAACATTACTTTTATAGGCTTGCGTCAGTTTTATGATATGGTAAACATTATCCCACCAAAATGAGGTAGAGGATATAGGATATTGGTGCAGTTCTGATGGTTTGACTCCATTTTATATTTAGTTATTTTGCATATCTATGGGCTTTATCCCATGGTATACCTTCTGCTTATACTATTTTCAAAAAACAAAAAACCGCATACAAACAATCTCTATTGATGATTGCAACTTGTATCAGTGATTTTGACTGATGTCATTGATTGACTTTCCAATTCCATACATGTCTTGTCGGAGCTGGTCCTGATGGGAAACACACAGCATTAGAAGCAGTTACCATAGTTCTTCATTTACCACCACCACAACCTGGGTCAATGCTGGGCATTACGTCAGTAGACAGGGTATCTGCGTCTGATCCAAAGTCAGCTCTGGCGTTACAGAGATTAGTACAAGCAGCTGTAAGCATCTTTTTTCAATAAGTAGATGCTTTATTTGTTTCTCTTCTAATTCATCTGTCAAATAACCTGTAGTACATATCCTTTTCTATTTATTGCTGAACAAATGTACTGTTAGGTATGGTTTCTAGGAGAAAATGCAAACTATGCTGCTTCTTAATATGCTTGGGAATCCTCAATTCCTCCTGGTACTGCATTGATGATGCTAGATACAGATAAAATGGTTGTTGCTGCCAGTTCTCGTAATCCTACTCTGGCTGGGGCGTTGACTAGGCTTCAGAGATGCGCGTTCAGTGGCTGCTGGGAGGTATTAACTTCCACCTCAGTGTCACCCAGTTGACATTTGTTACTGACTCTATCTTAGAGCGATAACAGGGTCTGGCAGTCATGGTTAAGGGTTACAATATTCTGTTGAGGCATGGTTTCTAAAGCATTTAGACAATGGTAGTGGTAGTTAGAGAATTATTATACTTTGCCTGTTGGTGGTTCTATAGTGGGAATCCAGGAGTATCCTATAAAACTCTAGTTTACTGATTTTCCGTGGTTAACATTTGACCTCACCCTCTACATTATTCGGAAGGGGACCCAGATACTATAGAATGTACACATATGCGCACAAAAATTTGTTAACCAGTGAACTCACCAGCCACTCATTTGATTGTCTTATATGTAGTTTGTTCCTTTGGGATTCTCTAGGTTCGAATTATTGCTGCTCAAGCTCTTACAACTTTGGCAATAAGGTCTGGTGAACCTTTTAGGCTACAAATCTACGAATTCTTACATACGTTAGCACATGGGGGAGTGCAGTCTCAGATTTCTGAGATGCATCTCAGTAATGGGGAAGATCAAGGAGCAAGTGGCACAGGCCTTGGAGCTCTAATAAGTCCCATGATAGATGTTCTTGATGAAATGTATAGAGCACAAGATGATTTGATCAATTAAGTGATACAAATTTCTTTTTTAAATGCGTCATTCTTTTTTTGGTATTCACAATAGTTTGTTGTGTGGGTAATCAGGGAAATACGCAGCCATGACAATGCTAATAAGGAATGGACAGATGCAGAACTTAAGAAACTATATGAAACTCATGAACAGTTGCTTGATCTTGTTTCGCTGTTTTTGTTACGTCCCTAGAGCAAAGTATCTGCCATTGGGGCCAATAAGGTACAAACTCACTTATAGTGCTTATGTCTTTAATTTGACATATATTTATCTGTTGTAATTTTTTGTTTGGTCAGATATTTATCTGTTGTATTTGAAAGAATAAGAGGTGTGAGGCGTTTTTGTTATTTTGTGTGTAAAACTTGATTCCGGAATGTGGAGATGCAATTTTCTAGTTCTTTAGCAAGTGTCCAGAAAAAGAATGTCAGCCTTTTGCACAAATGCTTTAATTAGACTCTCTCTCTCTGTTGTATAGGTAAAACCAGAATTTCTCAAATATGTTATCTATTCACTACACAACACTAATTTTACAATGTCCTCTTTCATTTCCCTGAAATTTTTGTTCTTCACCTTACTCCTAGTGTCTAACTGACACGCCAGATAACAAAGGTTGAAAATCTTGACGTCGGTGGAAATATTTGTAGTCCAAATGTTAAAGGAAATATTAGTAGGAATATCAGAATATATTATACATGTAAACATGGAAATTTGCTCCAAATTCCAAAACCTCCTGGAAATCTTAAAAAAAGTATTAAGCATGATACAGTTAGAATATTGTCCAAAATAACTATTAAATTAATTGTCACTATACTTATGAGGTGCAAATAGAAGAAAAGTTTATTATGATCCTTGTCTAAGGATTTTAAGCATGTCTCATTTGGTATGAGCATTAGTCAAGAGTGAGGGTAATTTACGACTAATCACTGCTTAGTGCTTACCAAGCACTTTTATGAGGGGATTGACTGTGTCAAAAATCATCGGTCTGACTCTAAATTTTAATGAGATGATTCCCACATACTAAAACTCTTTTCATTTGACAGCGAGTGTGATTTCTTTTGAATACCAGTTTTACCTTCTTTTCTATCTGCATTTCTTATTTGATTTCCCTTCATAATCTTTTGACAGTGGAAAACTTATCGACATCTACCGCACGCGGCACAATATTAGTGCATCAACTGCTTTGAGTGATCCAGCTGTTGCTACTGGAATTTCTGATCTTATGTACAAATCTAAACCAGCACCTGAAGATCCTGATGTGCTTGATGATGACCTTGTAAATGCTTGGGCTGCAAACCTTGGTGATGACGGACTCTTAGGATGTCACACCCCCATCCCGACCTACGCCCAGGATCGCCACGTGATGTCATTTAATACTCGAACATCCAATATACCCCGCCTCCAAGACATGAAATAAGACCACTCAAGGTCCAAATTTCATAATAATTTTTCGTAAGCTTTATGGCTACATCTAACCTTCTCGTTAGACTGCCTACGTACCCTCATTTGGGATCAAGCCATTCGTAGTTCGTCACTCACAAAATCAGACATGTATCACCCCTAAATACACATGGTCCCCCATCGCAGATATACCAAGCATGACCACATCCTAGCTCTAGGTAGTGATCACCCATTGCGGATATACCAAGCATGATCACCCCTAACAGTACCCCATCGCGGATATACCAAGTAGGACTGTATCATATAGCTCTAGGTAGTGATCACCTCGAAGTGTGTGTGTGTATGGCCATACCAAGATATAAGGATCGCCTATCGCTGATTAACCAAGCACGATCTATAGAAAATATGGTCCCCCTAATGCGGATTAACCAAGCAGGACCAAGATAACTAAGTAGGTAGTGACCCTTTATCGCGGATTAGCCAAGCAGAGTCACATTTACGGAACTGTTAGGTAGTGATCACCCATTGTGGATTAACCAAACATGATCACCCCAAAGTATGTATAGCCATAAGAATCGCTTATCGCAGATTAACCAAGCACGATCCATAAATAATATGGTCCCTTATCGCAGATTAACCAAGCGGGACCACTAGTGACCCTCTATCGCAGATTAATCAAGCAGGGTCATGGTCTCCTACTAATCCTCAATTTTATGAACATTTCAATACACACGTTAAATCACATAAAATAAACAAGCATATAACAATATAATGTCATTAGTACGTAAATCGAGGTGCACGTCAATCAAGGAGACACGTCATCACGATGAGCCCATCAAGCTTCATAACATCTCAACCACACTCTAAGATCAGTAGCACGCTAAAAGAACTCAAGCTAGTTGACTAAAAAGTCAACCGTCAATCATGGTCGAGAGTAGGGTCCACAACCCTAGAAATCTAAACCGGAAGATCTGCCTATTAGATTCTTGATCCGTAACTTCCCAAAGTCCACATTATGTTTCTGGAACCACATACTAAAATTTCATTACAATCTAACGATCGGATCTCCGTCAATTTCAAATTCAAGTGGCGGACGACATTTAATTTTACAAACTTAGAAATCCAATTAGGGAAGATTCGTACGTTGGATTCCTGATCCGTAAGTTTCTATGATCCATAAATATTATGTTCTATCACGCATTAAGGTTTGGTGACGATCCAACGGTCGGATCGTTGATTCATATTTTGACCAAGTAAGGTATCGTAATGAAACTAAGTCCAAACAATCAAATTACGTCATACGGATATCAATTATGAAATCAAGGCATCTATTTGAACTTAAAAGGACATCGTCGGCCCACTGGCCAGGCCGCCGCCGCACACGCCACCGAGGGTGGCGGTCGGTAGCCCTGACTTGCCGAAAAAATTCAAATATTTTAAAAATTACCAAAATTTACAGAAATGAAGATCTCAATGAGGGGAGTAATTTTTGTACCTGTGGCTAAGGCCAATTTGTCCTGGAAAAGCCTTAATTCTCCATGAACCCGTCGGAACCCTAGAGAAGGGTGTGCTTCGATTCAGCTTCCATACGAGCTTCGACGCCTCCAACACTGCTTGGGCTTTGTTCATGGGATTGATGGGAGTCTATTGGTGGTGGTAATTGGAGGAGGTAGCTTCAAATCGTGGCGGAATGGAATCCAACCCGTGCGCCCCCTTTTGTATGGTTTCACCCAAAATTCACCAAATTTTCACCCAATGTTCACATGAAAATGGAAGAGGGATCAGTTGGCCTCGTGGTAAGGGTCATTTTGACACTAACCTTGTCGTCCAAGGTGGTTGGAGATGGGAGAATCCACCGGGTCGAGTCACGGGTTGAGGGAAACCCGGTTCCTTTTTTTTTTCTTTTCTCCCCTTTTCCCCTTCCTCTCCTTTACTTTTTTTTTTATGTTTTTTTTTTGAGGTATTCATCAATTTCCCCCATGAACTTGTAACTATTGGTGACACACCCCGTCCAGAAGGAGGGCATGCTGGCCGTCACGTGAGAGTGACGTAACCATTTGCACAGTACGGAAGCTTTAAGATACAATTTATAAGTTGATACACCCGAAGGTGAGTCCTAATTTTGTCCAATCTGTCAGAACACCGTCGAATTCCTCGTAGTCACCACACCTTTGTGATTCCTGAACCTGGAGGGGCGCAAAACCAAAATTGAGTGGGTCAGTAAAACAATTCTTTTCCAAATCCAAACATTTCTCAAAACGTTGTAACCCCTCTCCGTAAAACCTGTATACTTTCCCAGAAATGTAAAATATAAATATACATATATATTCTCAAAACTTCATTTTTACTATCTCAACATTTTTCTTTATCAATCATGCCATGCCATGTCTAATTCAACAGTTAAGTATGGATGCATCAACAATAATCATATCAGGTGCAAGAAAGTAATCAACCGGAGGCCCTCTAATAGCCCTGTACGGTTGAACCTAGAGCTCAAAATCTATCACTCTCACTCTGCCGGAGTCACCTCTGTGACCTGTCCGGCCTTCTGCACACAAGTTACGCTCTAGTGCTTTCTCATCAATCATCTGTGCACATAATCTAAGGTCACCCACCAGTCGAAATCTCACTAACACTCTACGACTGGCCCGTCGCACCCACTCCGCGTGGACTGTGCGACCAGCATCTACTTGGATCCAAGGCGAGCGTGCGATGCGGTGAATACTATAAGCACTAAACCATGGTGCAGGATTTGAGCTCAATATATATCAACATCATCATAACAGTATTTAAATACTCACCTGATACTCACCTGTGCGTCCGCCGCACCAATTCATACGTATGCATCATATATCAATTCATATCCTTTCATGCATGGCAATTCGATTCACGTTTTTCATATAATTCTATATACTTTTCGCATACTTCTATGCATGGCATTTCAACTAATATATCTCATATACTTTTATACATTTTCATTTAAAGCATAATTTCATGCATTTTCAATTTCTGGGAAAACGGCAAGTATATATGTATACGGAAAACAAAACTGCCCACTCACAGAATACATCGACGTGTCGTAGGTCCCTGAGCCTCCCTTAGTCATGCCCAACGTTCGTACAAGCCTCGCCTATACGAGAAATAACCGAATTAACGTTATTTAACGCATAACCTAATTCTTAGCTAATAACTCCTCAAATATTGCTCAAATTGGGTATATGAATATACCACTGTGACCTACACAACCTCAGGATCATCCCCATATTTTTAAAATAATTTTTGGAGTCCTCACGCGCCCCCACGCGCCTGACGTGGCACGGACCTACGCGCCCCCACGCGCGGCCACGTGCCAAGCACACTGACGGTGTCAATTGACGCCGTCAGGAATATTCCGTTAAAATCCCGGAATATTCCGTTAAACTTAACCTTTTTCCGTTACTGCCGTTAGGAATATTCCGTTAAATATAACGGATTATTCCTTCTTCTTCTCCGGTCGTCCCTCGCCGGACTCCGGTCACCGGAAACTGGGGAATATTTCAAATCCACTATTCTCTTCGTTTTTCATCCAAATTTCTTGAATTTTACACCAAATTGAAGCCCTAAACATCTACTTTCACGTTGGACTAGTTTTAAGGCCTAAAAACTACGAGATCAAACTTTTCAAAAATTCAAGAATTCGGCCAAACTTACAACTCGTGATCCTGACGTCCAATTCATGCCAACGAAGCACTCCGAGCTTCCTTGGGACTTCCTTAAGCTCACTGTGAGCTTGGTTTCACCTAAAACAAAGTCAATTCGAAGATCATGAACAGTGCTCTTCACGGGAACTTTTAAAACTACGTTTTCCGAAGTAGAACTTACCTGAAATGGATACCATCGTGCTCGTGAAGTCTTCAGGGTTCCAATGGTGGTCTTAGATTCGTCGTTGGTATAGATTTAGGGTGGTTTTGTGGTTGGTCCGTGAGTTCGAAGGAGAGGGAGAGAGAACTGAGAGTTTCGTGAGGGAGGAGAGAGAGAGAGACAATGTTACGGGTTATGGGGAGGGTTTTGAGGTGTGGGGATCCCACTTGTCCAACCCAATCCCAATTTCATAAATTCCAACATAAAAAATCCAAACTTAAGCCTAGTTTAAGTTCCTAAAACCAAATAACTTAGGAACTTAAAGTAAAACCAATTGTTAAATTTTCGCCCCTTAGTCCCGTTTAAGGGCATTTTCGTCTTTTCACGTCCTCGGAATTAAAATTCCGGGACGGGCTGTGACAATTGGCCAATTTCCCCCCTCAACTTTAATTTTGGCCAATTTCCCCCCTCAACTCTCATAAATAGTCAATTTCCCCCCTCAACTTTAATTTGGCCAATTCCCCCCCTCAACTCTCATAATTAGTCAATTTGCACCCTACTGTTAATTTTTTAATTTGATCATAAGTAAACAAGTGTGTGTAAGAAACTAAATAAGATGTATGTTAATCATTTTCCTATGTCTTTATCCTAGTACAAATAGATTAAAATTTAGAATTTTACAATTTTATCATAGATAGTATTATTAGTCATAATAAATCAGTATGGAGTAATTTTATTTGATTTTTTACTATACAAAATTGATAACGAAAAGGATTGATGTGTACATTTTTGTATGTGAATACAATTTTCTTTATTAAAGTGAAAGCTAAGTTCAAGTAAATTGTGGAGAATCAAGCTTTAGTGCAAAAATGGCTAGTCAATTCATAATTTTCGACTCCTTATTAAGAATAACACATTTTATTGAAATAGGTCTGATCCATGAGTTTAGGATTTTTATTTCTTCTTCTACATGCTTTAAACCCGTTTCATAACTTTTTCTTATAGTCAACCCATATCACATACTAATTGTATTATGTTTTTGTACATTTTACCCTATATTATGCAGGTGAGTTTATGTTAATTTTAGTACTTTGTTGGAAGTTATTAGAAAGTTTGAAAGAAAAAAAAAAGAATAGATGGAAAATTAAAAAAAAATTAACAGTAGAGTGCAAATTGACTAATTATGAGAGTTAAGGGGGGGGGGAAATTGGCCAA